ATATAGAATCATTAATTACGTATACAAACCTTATAAAAAACGTATCATTTCCTTATTTCGATTTCTTATAGGGAAGATGATTCAATAAATGATATAATTTTTTATTAAATTATTTTATATTAATAATATTTTAAACTTATAATGTAATTTAATATATTTATAGAATATGATGAATTATCAGAATCATTTATAAATGTTTTAAACTTATTAGAAGTTAAGCAAAAACATAATCTTACTGATCATGCTTCTAATGATATTTTAAATATTTTTGCTAATGGTGAAGTTAGTTTACATTTAACAAAAAAAAATTAACTGAATTAGTAAATTTACAACCAATTTTTATAGATATGTGTATAAATTCATGCTGTGCTTTTACAAGTCAATTTGCTAATGATATATTTATGTCATTATTGCAAACAAGAAAGATTTATTACTAAAAACCAATTATCACAAACAAAAATTTCAAGAAAAGTTACAAGTTTTTTTCTATTAATAGATAGATTTAAACCTCAATTTAATAATTCTAAAAGAGCTTTAGATTTAAGATATAGATCTTAATATATAAATAATGAAGAGTATAGTAATGATAATATTAGTGATACATTTAATGGAAACCTTTACAAAGAATTAGTAAATAATGGTTATTTTTCTAATAAAAGAGATATTGTTTTAATAGGATCAATTGATGGTTATCAGATTTTTAAACAAAAAACTAATGATTGTTAGATAATTATGTTTATTAATGCAAATTTACCACCAAATGAACGTGTTAAAAAACAAAATTACTTATATCTTTATTTATTCCAGGTCCAAAACAACCTAAAAATTTTAATTCTTTTTTAAGACCTATTGTTGATGAATTAAAAGCATTAGAAAGTAATAATTAAATTTATATATTAATATATTAAAAATATTTGATTTATAATTATTTATTTAATAATTTAATATATTTTTATATTATAGATAGAATAATAATTTATAATGCTTTAACAAAAACCAATTTTTTATTACATTATTATTTTTTATTATGAATTGGTGATATTTTTGCAATGATAAAAATAATGTGTTTAACTGAATATAATTCATATCTTAGATGTAGATTTTGTTATTTAAAAGGAATATATTATCAATATTTTAGACATACTGTATATATTATCTGTGTAAAATACCTAAAATTTATAAAAAAATAATTATGATCCTACAAATTTACCAAAAAGAACAAATGAATCATTTGAATATAATATAACAAAAGTTGAAAATGAAAATATAGAAAATATATGAAAAATATATATAAAAGAAACAGGTAATGATAATTAATTAATTTATATAATTTATTTATATAATTAATAAATTAATAATTTTATAATTTTAGAAATTTTAGAACGTAATATATTAAGTGAATTAAAATCTATTCACTTTCCAGAATCATTTCCAATTGATATTATGCATTTATTTTTTGATAATATTTCAATTAATATTTATAAACATTGAACAGGTATATTTTTTAAAAATGATGAACTAAATAATCAAACTTATATTTTATCTAATAGAAATTGGAAAGATATAGGACAATTAATGTATTCTAGTAGACGTTATATACCTCTTGAATTTGGTAGACTACTTCATGATATATTTAAACATTTTAATGGATTTAAAGCTGCAGAATGGTCAAATTGGATTATAATGTATTCTGAATCTTTTTTACAAAATAAATTACCTATATTGTAAGTTATAAATTATTTATTAATTATTAAAAATTATTTAATTAATAGAAATATTTTATTTTTAATAGATATTTAAAGGGTTGGATTAATTTTGTAGAAGCTGTTAAAATTTGTCTTCAACAAAAAATTACACATAAGGATTTAGTAAAAATTTGTACTTTTTTATTAAAATTTTATATAAATTATAAAAAGTATAATAAATATTTAATTATTATTATTATTATATTAATTATAATTATTAAATACTAATAATTTATATTTTATTAAATAGATATTATTATAAACATGAAGAAAAAAGACTTTTTTCAATACATATTTTATTTCATTATCTTCTTTATATTGCTGATTGTATTATTAATTGTGGTTCTTGTGGAATTTATTGGCAATATCTAATGGAATGTTTATGTGGCATGTTACTACCATTAATTTATTCAATACTTTATCCATATCAAAACTTAACTAATAATATTTTATTAGCTGAAAAATTTAATCATCTTACTTTTATTTCATCATTAAATGATAAAATTTTAAAAAAAAACTGAATTAATAAATTCATATCCATTAAATAAAGTTTTTATATCTCATAATAAAGAAGAAGAACTATATTGACCAAGTATGAATTATAATTTAAATATAATAGAAATTGGTCAATTAAAATCTTTTTATTCAATTCAATATAATATATCAAAAAAAATGATAAAGGTTTGTAATAATTTAATATAATTAATTTATATTTAAAATAATTATTTATATATTGTTAAAATATTTTAGGAAATTAACTCTAATAGTAGAAAATATGGTTGTCTTAGAACAAAAGATGGTCATTTAATCAGTTCATACTATATTAAAAGAAAAACTGATATTTTAAGAAATAATTATTGTGTTGCTTTAAGTTATATATTATTAAATGAATTTATTATTTATTATATTACTAATATAATATTTTTAATTATTTCATTAAGATACAAATGTATTATAATAAAGATTATATGAACGAATAGAATATTTTTTGTACATAGTTATCTTGATAAAACATATATGCTTGCTTATATACAATGGGCTGAAAATGTTAATGTTAATACATATTATGTTAAAACATTTCAAGGATTTGGTAGTTATAATTTTATTGAAGTTTAATACATTGATAGATGTGTTAGATTTATGCGAATTAATAATTATTTTGTTATTTTTGATAAAGAAGATAAATTGTAATTTTTGTAATTGAATAGAATTATTGAAATTATAAAAATTTTTAATAAAAATTATTTACAATAAAATATATAAATTATATATATTATATAAAAACTATAATAATATATTTTATATATAAAAGTTGTACAATATTTGTATATCTTAAAAAACTATATATATTCTGTACAATAAAGTTTTTTTAAAAAAAATTCTGTATGTTTTCAATATAAATTTTGTATGTTTCAATTTTAAAATTTTTTTTTTGTATAATTTTTGTATATTTTGACTTTTAAAAATTTTATGTATGATTATTTTCGTAGGAAAATTTGCAATAA